GCTATACGAATTTGTAGTTGGCGCTCGCGGGAGCCGCCGCTGGTCACGTGGTAGGCCCGCGCGCCGCCGCGTTGCGTCGCCGCCGCACGCTGAGCGTTGTGCGAACGCCGCTTCAACGCGTTTCTCCACGCCGCCGTCGCCGCCGCCGCACAAGTTCGTCTGCTTCGGGGCGCCGCCGCCGTCGTCTGACCGGCGCACAAGTCTATCACGTCTGCTTGCGCTTTTTCAGGAGTTTCCTTTGGGCTCTAAAAGTTATTTATTCGTCTTGGTTTTTTGTTATACTTCAAAAAAAGATGAATAAGTTACTTTTAGAGGCCATAGGAAGCTTTCGAAAGAGCGCAAGCACCACGTGATAAATAAAGACCAGTCACGTGATAAATACAGACCACTTTTACGCGGTGCCCGCGGGCGCCAGCTACAAATTCGTTTTGCGCCGTAAATATAGCTGTAAAAATTTTTTTTCTTCGTTGTAAAATCGTTTTATGGTGTCCTTTTTCCATCTAAGCCGTTTAAAAAAAAATGTTTTTTTCCTTTGCATGTGTCTTTTAATAAACCCTTCTCTCTTTCTCTCTCTCATAGCTCGTAAAGATGGCATATTAACAATGTATAAACTTCGCCGGAATTTTGGCGTGCCTTGAACACACACTATATTCCTTTCGGTTGTTATTTTGCTTAGAATCGTCGCTTGTTTTTACACCTCTGCTGCGGAACAGAGGTTTGGGCCTGAAATAGAGCGAAGTTAAACATCGTTCACTGATCAAGAGAAATGCGCTATTTAAAGCAACTGCACTTTTATAAAGTTAATAAGGGTACATGCTTCTTTGAGCCATTTAAAAGGCGTTTCCTCCAAAAATACCAACCTCCCCCAGTCGCAGCATTTGGCCAAGCCACCGTCGTCCCTGGCCTTGGTCGTTCCCGTCATGATCCAGGCAGGGTATTCTTCGAGGTAGAGGGTTTTCGCAAAGCGTCCCGTCGACGCCTGGACTCGATTTCGCACTGTCCCGCAACGCCGATTTTGATTTCCTCGGCGGTGTCCACACAACGCGCCTCTGTTGTCCGCTGTTTTGGTTTCACTTTGCATCTTACGATACGCCTGATTGCGCTGATTCTACACTTGACACCGTGATCGCCGGTGCCCCGGGCTCGAGAACTGCCGTAGTTTCTCTTTTTAAATATAAAATTTTTTATAAAAACGGGCATTATATAACCAAAATGTAAAAAGAAAAAAGTCACGCAGCGGTTTACACAACGAGGGTTTACATTATTTCACAGCAGACGCTCGTTAGTTAACGTAGAGGGCGCGTGACGCCGCCCAATTAAAATGCTTCAGCTTCAGTCGTGTTTTTTGATCCACCGCTCGTTTAACATTCTTTTCAGCAACAACCGCATCGATCGCCTTGCGTGAAACCTGTGAAACGGTTACCGTGAAGTTGAATTCACGTTGAAAAGCTTCTTTCTCTACTCAAGAAACAGGTACTGTTCCCAATACTGAATGGTTAGGTGCGATGCGATAGCTTTGAAATAAACTTCAGAAGGCCCTGCTCACGGCCGTGGCTTTATTTGAGACTACGTCAACGTCGCATTTTCTCGCAGGAGTAGCGTCGTCTAAAGTCGTAAAAATGGCACGCTCGCCTGACCGTCCTAGGCAATAGACGGACCAAATAAAATAAAAAGAAGACTCGCAGGTAAAGGAGTAATGGATTAATGTAGGGATGCAGACGAGTTGGGGTAATGATTACAAACAGATAGAAGCGCAAAATATAAACAAAGGGAGAAATGGACAGAACGAGTGCCGAACTTCAACTAAACATTTAAAGGGACACTACAACGAAATTTCGGCGCTTATTTTTTGGTTGATATGTCTTCAAAGGAGCAGTATAACATAAGACACACCAATATCCTGTTAACAAAGACACGAAAAGGAATTTTAAAACGCATTAAGCAAAGAGCACCTGGTGGTTGTCGCTAACGCCTCTTTTGTAACACCAGTCTAGAAACCTTGGCAGATAGTGGCGACACTTGTCTCGCCTCCGGCCACGACGAGAGAAGAGGGGAAGGATTAATTCCCCTCTTCCCGAAAATCCCTTTTGTGTGACCCAGAAGTCGCTAACCCATCTACCTAAACATCTGTGTGTGTCCTAACATCAGAAACTGGCATTTTAAAGGTTAAAAACAAGAGGTTGTGAATATGGGACGCACACTTTCATGCAAAGCTGATGTCGGGTGACTCTAATCGAAAAACAATCATATTTATAATAATACTGTTATCTCTTCTGGTGAAGGTTCAGCCACCGTTGCATTCGAATTTCTGCACATGAAATGGTGATTCCCAGAGAAAGTAAGAACACAGTGTTATTGCCTTTATTTTAACAATGTACACACACTTGCAGACTATCACTGATGAGGCCTGAAAACTGAAACTGTCGTAGCGTGATTTTTGACTGTGTCTGCTACTACCCAACCTCATATGCTGCGCCACTTATGCAAGAAGTCCCTGTGAAATTACCAGTAAACACAAAAACGACACCGATACAGTTATCTTGTAGAATAATTTAGTAATTATTTAGTAATAACTGTGTCAATATGCATTACATGTTGCATTTAAGTAAAAAAAAAAGCAAAACCTTCTTTTGCCACTAAAAACTAAATGTCAACATTCTTTCTGGTAACAATGTATTTTTGCCAAATCTTTTGTAGAAAAATTTGGCAAACTTCGGCACCGAATTTTCAATTTGGAAAAAAGTTTGGCCCATTATTAGTTTAGACACAGCCATCAAATTTATTCAAAGTCGGGGGTCACTGAAAGGACACACTCACTACAAAAAATAGAAAAAAAATGAAACCCACGAGAGGTGGATCGGCTTTGCCTTCACGTTGAGGTGGAAAGCACGAATGACCATCTCGTTGAGTGAATGACCATTCCGTGACGTCATGGACTTTGGGCGCAGAATTTTAAATAAATCTCGCTGTCAATATTGCTCTAAACATATATTTACTTTCACATAAAATTTGTCTGTCCCACCCAGGCTGTTTAAAAAAGCATTTTTTTCTTTTCAGGCTGTGAGGATCGAAGAACGGCAATCTTTAGCAAAAAAATAGATTTTTGGTTTTATGGCGTTTCATTATCTTTGAATCTTCATGTTTTATTATAAAAATGATAAGGAGCGGTTATGATCCCGAAATTAGTGAAATAAACATTTTGAAAAACAGTTACCCAGGATTGCATAAATTTGAGCCACTTTTGTGTGCGCAGTTCTTCAAATGGTCATTGTCGTTATCACAATGTCCCCGCTCTATCGCATCTTCTGTAGCTTCAATTTTTTACAAAAATGATTAACAAAAATTATTTTTCCCACCGTGGAAGGGTGTCACTATGCATCTATGGTAACATTCAAAAACATTTTTGTGTATGTAATTTGAGGGTACGTTCACAAAAAGCACACAAGAATCCTAAACAACCAAATTTGACATGCATATGTCTTATAGACTACTGGAAACTACTTAATTTTCACGAGGGCCTAAATTTCGTGAATCTCCTCCATTTTGCGAAAAATAGGCCCCGCGAACAATTCAGGTAAAATGTAAACACATTAGAATCTATATTGAGATCCTGCCCCGTCACGAGAATTAGAACTCGCAAATTATTCCAAAATTTCAACTTTGAGCTAAATCACAAAATATTTAGCCTGCGAAAAATAAGTCGTTTACAGTATATGGATTGCAACTATCTAGGTTTGATTAGAATGCATATGTTTTTATATTTATAAAAACATCAAGTGTTGTTGCAAATGGTGTTGTTGCAGTTTTCAAATATTTTAAAAATCTAATTTTTGTTGTTCATTACACTCAGTAGTTTAAATGAAGCAAAGTAGTTTGTTTTACTAGTCTCTTTTAAGTCTGTTGCCATGTGCCATGTGTGTTAACAAGAACACTTTTTTTTTTTGCATGTTCAGAGCATTTAGAGCATAAAGAACAAGCTGTACCAAACCAACACAATATAATATAAAGAAGATCAAGCATTATAAACTGTGGAAGTTTTATTCAGTTACATTAAATCACAAAAAAAAAATTGCAGTGGCTTAGCTCGGCTATGCCAGGATACACGTAGCGTGAGCTTATCTGCACAAAATGAGAGGCGCTATCAAGTGGCTCCGGTGCAGCGTTAGACTTGGCTATTGCGCAACGGAGGCACACAGCTGGGCACGCGGCGGCGCCAGTGCGTCTGCCGCGGCTATGATGTCACTCCTCTGGAATGCGCAGACCGGCGACACGTCGAGGCGGGTGCGTCGGCAGCGGAGCGCACGGCGGTGGCTTTGTGTGGCTCTCATAATGAGCCATGCTCATTAAGCGAGCCGTGCTCAGTATGCGGAGCGCGTGGCACCGTGCGCCGTGCTCATTATGCGGAGCTCCGCCACCGCCGCCGCGCGCTCCGCATAATGAGCACGGCTCATTATGAGGGCCACGCGAAACTACTCAACCTCGGCCAGTGTAGCTAACGCTACAAAATAATTTTTCCTGTTGCATGGTCCCGCGTTTAGCAACACTTGAAACATTTGGGGGAAGAAGAACATGGCGGCTTTCCTGAATAGGTGGATCCAAGGGTCCTGCGGTTCAACAAATATACCAAACAAATTTAGCATTAATATAGGAACACCTAATGGGTTCCAGCCATATAGTTGCCTCAGTCTAGATATTGTATCGTGCAAGTCCGAACTTTTTTAACTGTTTGTATTTTTACCGTACTAGCGAGGCAAAGAGGAACAGGTTGTTTTAAGATGTCTTCAAACTCCAAGCCAGGTGGGAAAACCTACCCCCCATTACTGGGCACGCAGGCATTTCATTTCCTCATCCATTCATCATTGTTACCTCGAAATGGCCAAATCCTTGGTGTCTCTTTCGTGTTATACTCATAGGTGTCTGACTAGCTTGATGCGCTTGGAGGGTGTGCTCACTTTGTTCTTGATTACTGTCATTGCTCATTGCATTTGGTTCCTAGGATCTCATGTGGTCTCTTGCGTCCCTCTTGGTCGTACAAGACTCCCTACGAACCTGACCTTGGGCAGCAATACGAATGGAAGCGATTCAGTCCTCAAGTCGAGGTAAGTTTTTTTTCCCCTCCTTTTTTATAAACAGGACAGTGGCTGCATCTAGACTGCACAATACAATTCTATACAATACAAAAACCATCTTTATTTACTTTCTCTAAAAATAATACCATATAAAGCCCACATAAGCCAATAAAGCTTGTGCATGGGATGCCACAGGAGCCTCTGCTGTTGCGCAGATGGTAAAAACAAAAGAGCACACCAATAAAAATATAAATTACTACAGTTCCACCTCCATTTACAGCTGATATAAATTCCTCTAACTTGAAAAATATATCTGTATACCATGTCCAATAATATTGAATTAGTCTTTACATAGTGCTTAGGATACTGGAATTCGAGAATTACATGGCAATTCTAATAAAATGAAGAGAAACGAGTACCTTTTGTATTATGCGTTTTTGGGGATTCTCCATTATCTAATTCTATTACATTGTATGGGTCCTTTTTTCTCTGGTTAATTATTCATCTTTTTGCTAGTCTTTTTTATTCTGGGGGTTTTTATTTTATGTAGCTCATCCAGGCAATTTATTATAAAGCTTAGGTACGTAATATTTCCTTGTGGTTTCTACATATTGTCTTTATAAATGATTCAATAAAGTTTTTATTCTGTTGTAATGCCCTTTCTTTTACATTTTCCAGGCTATGTTTGCTGTTCAAAAATGTTTTATTATACTATCATACTTCATTTGATATCTGAAACGTTACATTTCTAGTTCTTTTGGCATATAGTCCGAGAGATCAGTTTCTTTGCTTCGGTAACCACTATCCTTAACTATCGTTTTTTGAATCGATTCTAGCTTGAGTTGTAAATATTTGGCATAGTGCTCATAAACTGTTATGCCATATTGAAGTATGGATATCTCCTGTGCATTGTATATCATTTTACGTGTGAACCGTGCTGCTAGGTCTTGGATATGCTACGTATGCGCCATTAATACCCTTAGTTTTTTACAAACTTGGTCTTTGTGAATATCCCATGTAGTATGTTTGTCTATGTCTATTTTAACAAGACGCATGAGCCGTTGTTGCAGTTCTGATCATGCATTTTTATTGAAATTTCGTTTACAATATTTTTCTTGGACCTCTAAGTTATAGTACTTGCATTTTAAGAACATTTACTATTATTTGGTTTTTACGGTACCATTGTATGTTATGGATATCATCTTGTATCGTTATTGCCGCTACTTAGCCATATCTATGTGCATATACAATTACTGCATCATCTGCATATTGAAAGAGCTTACTTTTATTAGTTGATTCGCTTTGTCAGTCCTCTGGTTTCCCTTTCACTCACCCTCTTTCTTAGATCTTTAATCTTGCTGTCGTGGTCTCATTTTCTTAAGGCAGCGGTTCAACAATTTCAGTGCTTCGCTTAAATAATTTGGGAGTTGGTGTCTCGACCTCTCTGAAGTAAATAACAAAAAACCGCTTTTGCCTATGTGTCCTAGTTATTATTTTAAAAATTGACAAAAATTGACGTTTTTGGCACCCCTCAACTCCTTCACCATCTTCCGAGTCGTGCGCGGTGTGACGTGGATGGGGGAAGGCACGGGGTTCAGATGAAGCCCTCTCTCTAAAGCCATCAGTGAGCAGCGAGAACTCAACCGCTTGCGACCACATGACCACATGCTTGCGCGGCACCGCGCAATCAACTTGGCGAAAAGCGGAAAGTCTCTTCTGGCGGCTGTTCGCGGTAGCGCGGCTGCTGATGGTTTTGTTGACCTTGGATAGATGGCACCACTAAAACTCCAGATAATCAAAGCTTTAGCAATGATGCCAGGTTTTCGACGCATTTATATTTTGGTTGGAACGACAAGATTTATAGAAAAATTACCATTTATCCAGGAGGTGTTTGCACAACTTTCTTTCTTATTCCAATCTGCCGCATGCTTCTCATGGCTGCCGCTCGCGGCTACAGGTCGAGAACTATATCTAGTTTTGCCTTGCAATTACGCGGTGGAATCGCAACATTTCGAAGAAAGATGTGTTTTTTGTCCTTTGTGACTAGATAAACATTGTCAAAAGTACAAGACACAAATTCTTTCAACGTTAAAATCGTTGCACAGCTGCTTGAAGCAGCTCATCATAGCTGTCGGTCCTACTCTGGAGCAGCGCTACTGGCGGTCATTCTCTGCAGCACTTCTTGTATAGTTGTGCACAGGCTCCTAGAGGTCCGTGCCGATTCGGAGATCCTCCACCAGGGGAGCTAAGATCGCAGATGAAAATGTGCAAGGTGATCTGCTTTTTCTTCGAGGAGAGGGAGGAGAGGAGCGGAATTGAATTTGAGGAGAGGTTCATGGGGCAGTTGTGAATTGACTTCGGGCAAGCTAAATGTTGGGCTCCTATTTGTGGCATGCGTGAAGTACATGAGGCGCTTTTCTAGCTATCATCATCATCATCATTTGTAGAACAGGCCGGGACAGGACGCATAGTTCTTGGATTCTTGGCTCACCAGCTTGCTTCCTGCGCTGTTTGGGTAACGGTGGACAAACCCTGTTTCCCTGTTTCATGCATTGTGTTTATTTGGTATAGTGATCTTTGTAGTAGGATATTTTACCAAAGCTTGAAGCCGTGGCACACGTAGACGTGCTAACGAACACTTTTGGCACTGAGGTGTCGAAGTGCTCGGATGGTGGTGTGCTGTTCTCTGCTTCAGTACAAAACTGGTTATAACCAGTGCTTTACCCCGCTACAGCGTCTACCACAGCGAATAGGCTGTATTTTTTTATTAAGATTCAGGCTAAATAAAACTGAGAAAGGAAGGTCTCACCAAACTGAAAATAGGAAAGTGAAATTCGAGAACCTTTCACGTGTGTAGTAAACACTTCGGTGAAAGCGACTCCGTGTATCCTGTTGGTTCCAGTGTGTTCTGTGAGTGCTGGTCTCTTGTTAGTTTCAAGTTGATTCCTTTTTGGAATTTGATGAACCAGTAAACAAATATTTCCTCAAAATAACTGGCAGGAAGAAGCGGTGGCTGACTTCCGGAGTCGTTTCAATGAAATCTCTGCCTATTCACCAGGTCGACGTGAAACGTGGGAGACCCCCTCGCGATTGAAGTCTTAAATCCAGTATGTCAGTGACACTTCAGCCTCATGAAACTTGAAGTATAGACCTGCTATCAATTACTACCGTTGTATGTTCCATTTGCGAACCCAAATGGGCACATAATGCGTGATGCACGTCTCAGCGAGCGATTTTAAATTTGTTATTAACAATTCCTAGTCAGAGTTGGATAGAACAAATTAATCAGTCACCTGAATTTGGTTGGCGCAGCATGGCCATACTAGCTCTGCGCCATAAAGCCCGTAATCAACAACTTGAATTTGCCGGGAAATATCGGAGAATTTAAGGAATTTATGAAAATTTCTGCTTTTCTTCCTATCAGAAGTCGCAATCTGTCAAACTTCTTCGCCACATATTTCATGCAGAAGTGGAGCGTCTGTCGCTGACGAGCTTTTGCTCGTCAGCAACTGTCGAATCACACATGGATAGGAGCGTCGGTATGGGCAGGATCAGGGATGGGCAAAATACGTGCAAATATGTATCGAAATACAAATACAAAATACTTTGTCATAAATGTATTTAATTACAAATCTAATTACATTTCCAAAAAAGCATTTAAGTGCAAGATACAAATACAACCAAATGTATTTGGTCTCCTCCAAATACTTTTCCAAATACATTCCTCACAATTTGCGTCAGCGACTTCAGGGCACCTGCAACGGGTTTCTGGGTATCTCATTTTAATTTTGCATCGCCCCCTCGGGAGTTAGTGTGCGAGGCTCTAGTAACGTAATAATCACAAAAAAAATGCAATCAGCTTGGGCGTAATAGGTGAAAAAAAGTACAGAGCTTTAAGCAGCTTTTTTTGTTGATTACATTTTGGTATAGCCCAACAAAGAACCGAGACGACCAAGGCGTGCAGCACTAGCTAGAGAATTTTTTATTGTTGCAACTCACACCAGTTACGAAAATCTGAACGACCCGCGCATTTAGAATGTTTTAGGCAAAAATATGGATGGAAATCAGGCTGGAAAGCATCACAAGTTGTCACAGGCACTTATTTAGCCAGTCTGCCTGGGAACGTCGATTTCGTCACCATTGTTGCCCTGGGCTAGCACCGTGATCACACAGTCACTAAACGCTTGTGCTTGATTGAGAGACACTGCATTCGGTGCAGAACAGTTTTCTTCCTGCTCTGGACAGTGACAATAAATTTGAGGGATGTATTTTAGCCCACAAAATTGTATTTAATTACAATTGTATTTGAAATACCCACGTTTTAGTATTTAAATACATGTCAAATACATTACCCAATTTGTAATTAAATACAACTGCAAAATACACAAAAGTATTTGAAATACATATTTCAAATACTTGTATTTGAAATACTGCCCATCCCTGGGCAAGATCAATGTAGCTAGGTGTGCACGCGTGCACTTCTATGAAGACAGCCTGTCATTGACCCTGGGGAATGCAAAATCTTTTCCTACGGCAGCCTTATCAAATCCGGAAAAAACAACAATCAGAGAGGCTGGGAAGAGCCCTGACGCACGCCACGCAATCTATCATGCAGTGTTGTGCCCATTACCAAAAATAAGTAACGAAATAGCGTTACCTATTAGCTTGAAAAAAGCTAACGTGTTATGGAGCTCCGTTACCATTTTGCAAATGTAATAAAATACCAGTGTCATGGCTTGCCATGACTAACGGACATTACTTTTACGTCAATTTGTTGTTACTTTGTGTTTCACTGTTAGTATATGATAGCTGTTTATAATAAACTGCCTCTATAAACTTCTGCAAAAATATGCTTGTTCGGAGGGATTATTTTTCCTCTGTCATGGCAGAGCATTACAGCAGAAGAGTGCAGTACAGATCCCCTTTATACATTGGAAACTCGCACAAACAGCCCAAGCCATCAACGAACAATATAAATAAGCAATTCAAAACAACACACAATAATAAAATTTCAATAACGCCAAAAATAC